TTGCAAATTTTCTCCCTATGTACTTTTTTTACAAGATTTTTATACTTTTGAGTGGCATTTTGTCGATCGGAGCCCTGGATTATACACTTTGTCTTTATATTTTTTCGTAATAAAATTTAACTTTCGTTGGGTATTTCCTTTAAATTTATCCATTTCTTTAGTATTTTTATCAAAATTTTTAATTTCTTCATTTACACAATTGTTCAAATATTTTTTATTTTCTTCTTTATTTTCTTCATTTATTGTTATATTTTTGTTATTTAAAATATTTTCTGTACATTCTTTCATTACAAACAAATATTTTAAATGAACATCAAACTCAGTTTCAGAATAACCATATGGTTTAAGATATATTAACTTTTAAAGGTTTAAAAAATTAGTTTTAAAATCTTATTCTTAATTTTAATTCTTGTAATTCTCTACACTTATTTTAGACAATTATTTATTTAAATAGTTCGACCCTTTCTTAATTATCAAAATTAGGATACCGTATATCCTTTAATAACTACTCTGCGTAATTATTGTTTCGACCTTCTGCTGGAGGGAGTAATTAATTCAGGGAGTGTACTTATACGAGGCTTGAAATTTGAACGTGATTTAAGGCATTTGTTGGGGGTAATTATTGTTTCAATCTATCGCCGGATGGGGTAATTAATGGAAGTGGGATAATTATTTGAGGGAGGGATAATAATACAGTAAGGCCATCAAAGTGCATGCAACTATACGTTTTATTATCAAATAGAATCCACTCTTGAAAATAAGAGTGGGAAGAAGGATATCCAAAAATGGAGAAGAAACAAAGCAGCCATAGCAATGCTGTTTAGATTTCAGAAAAAACGAGAATGAAAAAATTGGGATTTCCCTATTAACGAATTTGATAAACTAAAAATTACGTCCAATTCTTCCTCAATTTCTTTCTCCTCAATTTCATCAAAATTCAAAACAAATTCTTTAAGAAAATTATTTCCATTCCAATAATTTTCAAAAATTGTTTCCCAAATTTTTTTTATCTGTTCAATTCCTTCTAAAAATTAAATAAATATTTAATTTCCTCAAAATTACCTCTATTTTTTATATTAATTTTATACCATCCTTTATAAAGAAAATAATCCAAAACATGTATTATTCTCCATTGTTGGAATTTTGTTTTAATTAATTTATTTTTAGTTCTAATAGAATTATAAAACAATTCACTAATTAAAGTTTTATCGTCAAATAATTTAATTTCAGTTGCAATAGAATCAGCAGAGAAGTTAATTAAATTATTTTTAATAGATTTGTTCTCTATAATAATTAGGGATGTAATTTTTAACTTTTTTCTAATTTTTCTGGAATTCACGAACCTCGGGAATTATTTTAATCCCCTTTATTTCTCAGATTATGTCAATTGGTTAAAGGGTTCTATATACCTATTACCGTAAATACTGAAATAATTACCCTGGGTAATTGTTGCTTCAATCTCTCGTTGTAGGTGACAATTATTATGGAAGAAGTCCTAAATTTATGATATACCGTATTTCTTCTAATAGTGCGACTCCCTCTATTAGACGACCCCTTATAATAAACCGACCCCCTAGAGGAAGGTTGAATCATAAACCGACTCCCTCTATTTTACCGACCCCTTCTATTAAACCGACCCCCCTGTTTCCAGCGTTAATGTGACGGAAAGTCCTTTGACGAAAAGTCGTACCACCGATCAAATATTAGACTTTTTGATCAAATTTTTTCAAATATCAAATTATTTTCATATATTATTTGATCAAATATTTGTTTGATAACTTTTGTTAAAAATAAATTTTTTTCAAATACCGAATAATTTTCAAAGTATTTGATCAAATATTTATTTTGCCGTTTGTCAGATCTCTAGTTTCCATTATTGAAAAATAAACCGACTCCCTCTATTAGACCACCCCTTCTAATAAACCGACCCTCTATAGGATGGTTGAAAAATAAACCGACCGATCGCACTATTAGAAGAAATACGGTATCTCAACCTAATTGAGGTGAAATAGATTCATTTTTTGATATTAAGTTTTAAATGTTCCAAAATTAGAATTATTTTTTAAATATTTTTAAAGTTTAAATAAAAAAAACTAGGGAATAATTATTAGAGAGGGTAATTATTTCAGCATTTATTGTATTCTTACTTTTAAATTTTGTCCGAAAATCCTGGTTATACCTATTTTTGCCTTTTGCAACAAAAATTTTTGAATTCGTAAATTTAGGGCTGTAATTTTATGTCTTATGAGATTATTACTTCAGGGCTCTTCTGATAAAAAAAATATGTCATATATTACCTAGTTTGCCAAAATATTCCGGAAACATTTCTTTCAAAATAAATAAACGCAGAGATCCAAATACCATTTCCATTCTTTCGGTTACTTGGTTTTTGTCAGAAAAAGATCTTGTTATTTAATTAAAATATTTAATAAGAGGTTAAAAATTTAAAAAATTTTCAAATAAAAAAAAGATCTCCATTATATGTATTATATCAAATCTCCGTTTGATTTTAGGACGAAAAAAGTAAATTAAAATTAAGCAAATTATTAGTGAAAAAATTAGTAATTTCACTTAATTATAACATCATTCCAAAATAGCGATACGGATTTTTTATCGGAATCACGATACCGCCCAATATATCACGATACCAATATTTACCTCAAAAAATTCTGAAATGATTCCCTCTCATTTATAAAATATTTAAAGAAAACAATGAAATTAGCCTCCCAAATTTCTTCCTGATTTTCTAAAAATATTCCTTTCAATTTTCTGTCATCCCAACAATCTTTCAGAGAATATTTGTTGATATTTTTATCAAAATTATTTTTTACTATTTTTTTATAATTAATTTTAAAACTAATTAGTAAATGGCAAAAACGTTGTTCATAATAGACGGTAATTGGACAAAGAAAGTTGAAGCGAGGAAACAATCTTTAAATAAGAAATTTATTTAGTATATTATTTATATATATATTTAACCCAATATCAGTTCCTGGATGATATCTGTCAACCGCAAGTTCCATCAAAAATACTTGAGAAAGTATTGATATTTTCAGATACATTATGTTAATCTGATTGGAATCTTCCGTTGAAAGAAATTCTTTGAAATAATTTTCCAAAATTATTTCTGTAGAACCATTCAATGGATTATCAATTAAACTCATCGTGTTATATGCATTACAAATGCCTAATTAAATTTTTATAATTTAGTTAAAAGATTAACACAATACCTTTATATAAAGTTGGAAAAGGATTTGCTTTTTTGAAGGGATTTGGTAAAGCATTTGTTGTTGGGGTTGTTGGTAGAAGCAAAAAAATAATTAAATAAATAAACATTTGTTTATTTAAATAATTTTTTTCACTAAAAAGTTAAAAAATATTTGTATATTGGACATAATTTAATGTAGTACAATATAAAGGTTGCCGTATTTTCTCGATTAATTTCTCTGGGGAATTATTGTTTCAACCCAACTCTAGCATAGGGAATTAATACAGAGAGGGAATTATTCGAGGAAGGGGAATTAATCGAGAAAATACGGTAACTAACGATGTTCACTGATTAACTGGCCAAAAGCCTTGTTTACTACCGTTTATATAAATATACAGAGGGATATCAATGGAAGGCGGAGTTTATCATGCGAGTGATAAAGTGCTATTTATTTATTAAATTATAGCCCCCGCTGTCAGAAAAACTCTACTTTTCTTTAAATGTGTTTAGGCAATGTTAAAGAAAATATTTTATTTATTTTATGTCCAATGTCTTGTGACAAATGTCTTGTGAGAGTGTCTTGTGAAAAGTGTCTTGTGAGAAGTCTTTAGTCGCGTGAAAGCACGCATGATAGGGCAACGTTAATGGCAATTTAAAATATTGATTGAATTTTTAATAAATTAAAATTTAAATCCGTTTTATTTTTAAAATATTTATTTTTGATAGCCATAAGGGGAAAGCGTTGGAGATTATGATGGTGCTTCGATTCGATTAACAATTCGATCTCCTACCGACTTAACTATCAGTAAATTTATTAGTCTTAAGCCAATATTCTAAATGCTAAATAATTTTTCCTTCTAAATATGTAGATGTTTTTTAAATTTGATTTTAAAATTGTAAAGTTTTTTAATATTAGTAAACGTGAAAAAATAGTAGAAAAATTAATTTAGTCATGAATTTTCAAAAATTTTAGTCTGCGGCGCAGAAAATAAAGAATATTTGGCCTCTTAGCCTTCAAACTTAAAAAATTTAATATGAAAATTTTTAAGTAAATGGGAGAGCGGATGATCGAGAAAGAAATTTTTTCTGCATACAGTCATTCAAAATTCTCAAAATTTATGCCTGCGACGCTGAAAATGGAAGAAATCTGGCTTCTTGACATCCAAAATTTACAAAATTTTCGCCTGCGGTGTTTAAAAGAAGCCCTTATCTAAATACTAATACTTCCATCTTGGTACGGCTCAGAAAAACTTAGCCCCGTATCTGGCGCCCAGTCCCACGCGAAAATTTTGACGCAAGCCTTGTTTAGGGACCCGACTATTGGGGGGGGGGGGGGCATATTTAGGGACCCGACTATTAGTGACCCGACATTTAGGGACGAAATAAGTTAAAATAATTTTTTTAGTTGACCAATTTAAAAAAATATTTTTTGAAATAAACAACTGGTCAAATTTTATCCAAGGTTAGTTGTAACTTTGTGCGGCGTGACAACCATGGAACGAGATACAGGTTCTTTTTTTTGCAGATGCGGCTTAAGCAGATACGTCCACAGCAAGATTATGTTAATTTAAACCGAGCACCTTTTACTTGGTTCACGTTTGTATAACTTTGTCTAATCAAGTCGATCAAATTGATTTTCTGTCGTAGAACTCAGCTCTACTATTTTAAATTAGCTATTATTGCATAATTTAATTTTGGCCCCCAAAATGTCCTTGGTTTTTACTAGAATGGTTGAATACATAAAAGACTACATATTTAATATAAGTTTGCAGGAAAATTATATTTTATAAAATTAGACAATATCATTAGGGCAATCTGGCATCATATCTCGAACCTCTCCATATAAATAGAATGTTTCTTGGTAAGTTATTAATAAATCAACGTTCTTAGCCCCAAAATAAGAATTTGCAATTAAATGAAGACATTCAGCATATTTTTTAATTCCAGCATCTTGACCTAATTTATTTAGTAAATAATTATGTAACATTCTTGTATATTTGGATAACTCAATTGAAAGAATATCCCTTGCTGATTCTGATAAACCTGGGATATCTTTAAATTAATTTTAAAATTATTTTTTTTTCTTTAAAAAAATACCTGAATTTAAATACATAATTGCCAAAATTAAACTAAATTCTTCTTTACAAATTCCAATACGAAAAAAAGGTTCAATCGGTTTAGTGAATGCTTTCGTTGCCAAAGAATACAGCCTTAAATTTATTTAAATAGAGTAGATAAATCCCTTAAAAAAGGCAGTGAGGCATTCTTTAGGTATTTCAAGAGGTACATATTCTTTAGGAGAGACTTCACCGGATTTATATCATTGGGTTACCATTTTTTATTCCATTTTGGAGGCAAGGGTCTACTGTTAATAACCGAAAGTTTGGAGTCGCTTCGATAATCACGCGTTCATCTTACCCGAGGAGGTGCGAAACTTTTACCCAAAATTTTTTCAATCCCTTCAACCATGACTTCAACCATATGTCTAAGGGTGGGCACTTTGAAAATACTTGATTATATTTGTTCTTTGTTTAATTCTTCATCATTTAACTCTTTTCTTCAATATAAATAAAGTTATGGCAAAATTAGTGTGCTCGGTTACTTTTGGGTTAATGACATTTTTTATTCCATCAATTAGAGTCATTAGCGGTGTTTTCAGATTCATATGCGTGTTTTCAAATTACTCATATAATGTTGCCGGCTACGGATAACCATAGCCCGAATAATCAAAGAGTTTAGGGATTGGAAACCGGATCCGAAAGACTTAGATAGTCGGACCACGACCACGTCAAGATGACTGTCGCCGATCACGACCACGTCAAGATGACTGTCGCCGATCACGACCACGTCAAGATGACTGTCGTCGACCACACCACGTCAAGATGACTGTCGTCGATCACGACCACGTCAAGATGACTGTCGTCGACCATGACCACGTCAGACGACTCATAGACCACGTCAAGATGACTGTCGTCGACCACGACCACGTCAAGATGACTGTCGTCGACCATGACCACGTCAGACGACTCATAGACCACGTCAAGATGACTGTCGTCGACCACGACCACGTCAAGATGACTGTCGTCGATCACGACCACGTCAAGATGACTGTCGTAGGCCACGACCACGTCAAGATGACTGTCGTCGACCACGACCACGTCAGACGACTCGTAGACCACGACAAGATGACTGTCGACGACCACAACCACGTCAAGATGACTGTCGTCGACCACGACCACGTCAAGATGAATGTCGTCGACCACGACCACGTCAAGATGACTGTCGCCGATCACGACCACGTCAAGATGACTGTCGTCGACCACGACCACGTCAAAATGACTGTCGACGACCACAATCACGTCAAGATGACTGTCGACGACCACAACCACGGTCAAGATGACTGTCGTCGACCACGACCACGTCAAAATGACTGTCGACGACCACAATCACGTCAAGATGACTGTCGACGACCACAACCACGACCACGTCAAAATGACTGTCGACGACCACAATCACGTCAAGATGACTGTCTTCGACCACGACCACGGTCGTCGACCACGACCACGGTCGTCGACCACGACAACGGTCGTCGACCACGACCACGTCAAGATGAATGTCGTCGACCACGACCACATCAAGATGACTGTCGCCGATCACGACCACGTCAAGATGACTGTCGTCGACCACGACCACGTCAAAATGACTGTCGACGACCACAATCACGTCAAGATGACTGTCGACGACCACAACCACGGTCAAGATGACTGTCGTCGACCACGACCACGTCAAAATGACTGTCGACGACCACAATCACGTCAAGATGACTGTCGACGACCACAACCACGACCACGTCAAAATGAATGTCGTCGACCACGACCACGTCAAGATGACTGTCGCCGATCACGACCACGTCAAGATGACTGTCGTCGACCACGACCACGTCAAAATGACTGTCGACGACCAAAATCACGTCAAGATGACTGTCGTAGGCCACGACCACGTCAAGATGACTGTCGTCGACCATGACCACGTCAGACGACTCATAGACCACGTCAAGATGACTGTCGTCGACCACGACCACGTCAAGATGACTGTCGTCGATCACGACCACGTCAAGATGACTGTCGTAGGCCACGACCACGTCAAGATGACTGTCGTCGACCACGACCACGTCAGACGACTCGTAGACCACGACAAGATGACTGTCGACGACCACAATCACGTCAAGATGACTGTCGACGACCACAACCACGTCAAAATGACTGTCGACGACCACAATCACGTCAAGATGACTGTCTTCGACCACGACCACGGTCGTCGACCACGACCACGGTCGTCGACCACGACCACGTCAAGATGAATGTCGTCGACCACGACCACATCAAGATGACTGTCGCCGATCACGACCACGTCAAGATGACTGTCGTCGACCACGACCACGTCAAAATGACTGTCGACGACCACAATCACGTCAAGATGACTGTCGACGACCACGACCACGGTCGTCGACCACGACCACGGTCGTCGACCACGACCACGTCAAGATGAATGTCGTCGACCACGACCACATCAAGATGACTGTCGTCAATCACGACCACGTCAAGATGACTGTCGTCGACCACGACCACGTCAAAATGACTGTCGACGACCACAATCACGTCAAGATGACTGTCGACGACCACAACCACGGTCGTCGACCACGACCACGTCAAGATGAATGTCGTCTACCACGACCACGTCAAGATGACTGTCGCCGATCACGACTACGTCAAGATGACTGTCGTCGACCACGACCACGTCAAAATGACTGTCGACGACCACAATCACGTCAAGATGACTGTCGTCGACCACGACCACGTCAAGATGACTGTCGTCGACCACGACCACGTCAAAATGACTGTCGACGACCACGAACACGTCAAGATGACTGTCACCATCTTGAAATTTTAAAAATTGATAAAAATAGGTCAAAATATGGCAAATGTACAAAATAGGGAAAAAATAGGGCGAAAAGATCAAAAATAGGGAAAATTTTCTATAAATAGGGTAAAAAGGCCACCCTGATATCGAGTCGACATTTTATATTTTAGTAAATCAAATTTTAAACAAGAATAATTTAAAATATTTTACGTTCTATCAGTTTTGAATTTAAATTGATCAGAGAAAGCAGCCATTACACAAGAACCATCTTTTCTCATCCAAGTATCAGAACACAATTCATAAGCAATAAAACAATTGCAAATCATCAATACAGCATTTGCCACATATTTTAAAATAATTAACTTAATTATTAAATTAACGTTAACTATTATTAACAAACAAACAAACTTGATCTTTAACATCAAGTTTTGGAAAAATAGGTAAAGATTTAAAAATTCCAATACAGACAAGTTTCTCAACGAATAGACATTTTACTGTTCGATGATTAATTTGGTCAAATTTTGCATTTATTTCGTAAAATTCAGTTGAACTAAGAAGCTTTGGTGTTTCCTATAAATAAGTATATATGTAGAATTATTTGTTTGGTGCCGGATTTTTGTCAGCAAATATTGGTCACCAAGATAAAATTAATCTTGTACCTATTCCCATTTCCTTCAAACCCCATTTTCTCAAAACAGATATATCCGCGGGGGATGGATATAACTCAAAATTTGCACGGATATAAATGGATACGAATATTGAGCTCACGGATATTTGATATAGAGCCATTCCAAAATACGTGTCCATGCACAAGTCTGCTCGTTACAGACGAACAAAATTTTGTTCATCCTAAGATCTGCTGAAAAATTATACCTAAGAATATGCTTATCTATTTTTGCTCAATCCCACCCCAACAACTGACAACCAAATAAAAACTATGGGGATCTTATCTGACAGTATTTATTTTAAAAATTCCTTTACCGAAAATTCAGATGCTTTTAAAATAATATTTGGCCCATTAGTTAAGAGATCTTTCAAAGAATTTAAATTTAAAGATAAAAATTGTTGGTCATCAAAATCCATAAATGCATTTCTAATTCGGCTTTGTGCTTCACAAATTCGAATTAAATGTTCCATCTACAGTTATAATTATAATTACAAAAATTAATTAGTATATTTACTTGACTGCTTTCTGCATTTAAAGGTACCAAGAGATAATTTTGTTTTTGTTGACCTTTAATTTTTAATGTTATTTATTGTCATTAAAAACTATTTATCAGTGAACTAGAGTGCGACAAGTGATAGCTGGTAAGGGATTAATTTTTAACCGAAACCTATTAATCCCCTAAATCCATACGTAATTAAGTGGACCGCCAGCCTGTCTACCTTCTTTTTTTCCTTAATATTTGCAGAATTGTCAGACTTCTTGTTAGAAATTAGCCTGCACTTTTGGACTTACGCTTTTTTGTGTTGTTTGGAAGTTTGGTTGTTTGGATTGTTTGTTGTGTACTATTTGGGGAGGAAATTAGTTTTGGGTCCGAACCAAACTTAAGCAAGGAGAAAAACTTAAGCAAAAGTTAATGATTTCCTGCGCTTGGCCTACCAAGTGCAGGAAAAGTCTCACGCTATTTAAAATGATGTTAAGGGGTCTATCTTCTTGTTCAATTATTTTTGCTATTAAAAATTATTTTCTGCATCAGAATTTAAATAAATTAAGTTTATACTAATTATTTTGTCATTGTGGTCCAATTTATTTTTTATTTGATTGGTTGTTGATTTTTTATATTTATTTGCAGCATTATCTTCATTATACTTTAAATTTTCGTTTCCATCATTTAGATTCTTCTCTTCGTCTTGATGATGAATGTTTGTTGAAGTGTTGATAGTCTGGTGTAATTTATTTCGACGTTTTTCTAACATTTCAATAAATTCCTTTCGACATTTCTTGTCAGTAGTTTTAACCATTAAAGGATCCATTCCCTCAATTAAACATTTATCAAGACGGCAACCTCTACATTTCTCGCCTTGTAAATAAATAATAAAATTTAATTTAATTTAAAAAATAGGTATCCATGGTAATAACGCAGCCCAACGAACTGAACCAAAAAAATTTTTTTGACTTTTAAAAATCCTTAGTTAATACAAAATATTTTTTAGAAAACTTTCTTTGTTATTAGAATAACTTACTTCTTTTTTGGGCCAAGTCTTGGCCTCACCTTACATACTTTGCCATTATTAAAAATACATACACTGAAATTTTTGTAGATTTTTCCTGATATTGGAAATAATTTTCTAGGGAAGTTAATCTAGTATACTTTTGTGGGCCGGCGGTACCTTTGAGTGTACCCTTAAATATCGAATTAAAGAAAGAAATTTAACCATTTATTATATCACACTTTTTATGCCGCCGACAAGTAGTAGCTTTCTGTTGTACAACAGTACGGCGAAAAAATTGCTTGCAGCCTTAGAAAAAATAATTATTATATTTATATTAGAGATTGGGAAAATCGCACTTCCGGGATCCCGAGTCGGGATTTTTTTCTCAGCCGATGCCGGGATGGGATCCCGAGGGATAAATCCCGAAAAAATCCCGAATACCAAATGATCCCGAAAATCAAAAAAATCCGGGATCCCGGAAAATCCCGTCGGGATCCCGTCCCGCGCCAGTCTTTAATTTATATCCCCCCCTCCTCTACCCCTATTTGAGTTTCAGAGGGATATATTAATAGTATTAGGGTGAGATATTCAGATTAAGTAGACCAATATGTACATTAATCTTAAATAAAATTAAGACTAGGATTACTTGCACAACTAACAACACAATAATTTCTGCTTTCACATTGCTTTCCACAAACTGCACAAAATAGGAGTTTCTTTCGTGAATTATTAATTTCTTTATTCATTTTATAAAAAGTATAATAGGTATAATTATTTTTGGCAAATTAACTAAATCAACCACAAAAGCTATTTATGCACTTTAGTACATATGGAGGGGGGGGGGGGTGTTAAAAGTTTTATATACTTATTAGTAGTTGCCAATATCTACCAAAATGAGAAAATGGATATGTATGGGAATAAAAAGTACTTATTAAAAAAAGCTAAACAAATATACACCTAATTAAAATATTTTGTTTTGCTTAAAACGCTACAAAAATCCCTTGCATTTCAAGGCAAGGGATTTTCTTTTACGAAAAGGGTAACTAATAGTTATATTCTTTTTACGATAAGGTACATTTGCATTAAAGGGCATGCACCGAATAAATATAGTGGAAAATAACAAATTAATTTTTAATTGGACTGCCAATTTTCTTTTCAAAATAAAACCCCTACATATTAGTTAGCTACAAAATAAGCATGGGAGATTTATTTATCGAAAAACATTATGATTGAAATAAATTTAAAAATAAAATTCACTAGATTTTGAGGAGGTAACCAAGTAACCATCTTTGTAACCAAGTCTGACAATCCGATATTTATCTTTAAAAAAATAATTACTTGCACAACTAATAACACAGTAATTTTTGCTTTCACTTTGATTTCCGCAAATTACACAAAAAAGAATTTTCTTTTGTGAATTATTTTCTTGATTCATTATAAAGATAATATGTAGATAATATTTAATTTTAATAAAACTTTAATAAAATAAAATGAAAAATATATTTAATAATGAAAATAATTTATCATAAAAAGCTAAACAAATAATTTTTGTTTAACATAAAACAACCCACAAATACATAAAACGCTACACAAAAATTTTTTAAAATGTGAGAGAATTGACGGAATAAGGGAAAAATTGTATACCTTGCTTAGCATGAAAAGGTATACTATTTACATAAAAAAAATTTTTATTAAAAAAATAGATAAAATTGATTGAAAAAAGAAGAAAATTATTTGAACGTGTATGGGGGTTGTTGTGTCCGCACTTGCAGAAAGAACATAAATGAAAATAAATAACCCATCATCGGGTTGGATGGTGGCACAGTCGGTTGTGCTTTCGGTTTGGGCTCATTCCATGATGGTTCAATTCCATCTCCCATCCAAACAATTTTTCCACAGCATGAACATCGTATACAATAATGGTGCAACGACCCGTCCAGGCTTAGCCTGAGGAAACAAGCGAACCGTCAAATGCTGTGATGATCTGACATGCTTTCAATGTTTAGAGAAATAAGGAGAAGACCCTGTGAGTATCGCCTGAGCTAAGTGCGGGTAGAAATTAGAAGCGTAAGACTCTGTGTGAGCAGCCAGAGAAAGCGTAAGACTCTGTGTGAGCAGCCAGAGAAAGCGTAAGACTCTGTGTGAGCAGCCAGAGAAAGCGTAAGACTCTGTGTGAGCAGCCAGAGAAAGCGTAAGACTCTGTGTGAGCAGCCAGAGAAAGCGTAAGACTCTGTGTGAGCAGCTAGAGAGAAGCGTAAGACTCTGAGTGAGCAGCTAGAAAAAAAAATGCCACAAATGGGTTTCTGTGTGCTCTCTCCCAAAAATCAAAAACAGTTGATAGTTATTGGAAGACAAGCAACAAGCGAGGACGCTTGGTTTCGCAAGGCGGAAGGAGTGTTGTGTCCGCACTTGCAGAAAGAACATAAATGAAAATAAATAACCCATCATCGGGTTGGATGGTGGCTCAGTCGGTTGTGCTTTCGGTTTGGGCTCATTCCATGATGGTTCAATTCCATCTCCCATCCAAACAATTTTTCCACAGCATGAACATCGTATACAATAGGGGTTTATGGCCAAATTTCGCGTGGCCAAAGTTTTTGAGTTTTTAGAGCGCACTAATGCTAAAATTGAATAAAAATAACGCCAAACTTTTTATAATGCATAAATTAAAAAAGTATCATCACCATTGTTGTGTCCGCACTTGCAGAAAGATCATAAATTAAAATAAATAACCCAGCGTTGAAAATAAATAACCCAGCGTTGGTTTTTTGGTTCAGGTTCCGGTTCCGGGAACCGGAACTCAAATTGAATCCAGTTCCGGTCAAAATTTCGGTTCCGGTTAAACACTAATTTTTATATCCACCAATATCCCCTTAATCCACTTATATCACACTCCACTTGAAATGAGGATATGGAGACAATTTGGGGAGGCATGGAGCAGAAATTTATATTTTTCGGCGTACGGCCTTACAAAATTTTCGCCTGCGCGCTAAAAATAAAATTTTGTTCGAAAAAATTTTGCGACTGCATTTCATTTAATTCCTTCACTTTAAATTCTTCACTTTTATTTACTAATTTTTATTTTAATAAAATCATCAACATTTTTCTTTAATTCTTTATATTCCTTCTTTTGTGATCTAATAAAATTATTTAAATTTTATTTTTAATTTAATTTCAAAAATCTTAAACAAACTTTTCAATTAAATCTTCCATAATTTCGAATTTTTTGTTAAATTCCATTTCTTTTGTTTTGAGTTTCTAAAAATTTTTTATTATAAAATAATATTTTTTATTATACAACATGTGTATATAAACGGAGCCGGAGTTCGAGTTCCAGAGTTGAGATACTTAATCTGATTTATTTCTGGATTATCCCCGAAATCAAAAAATATTCCTTGACATAATTAACCCATAAAAAGCCAAACATGCCGACTCCGGTTAATTTTTGATTCCAGATTTTGATATGGATCTTGTTTTGGGTCTCATTTTTTCGTACTTAATTATTCTTTATTATTAAATACCAGGGGTGGGTCGGAAATGACGAAGGTGCCGGAAATATGAAAGAAAGAAAGTTCGGAACTCGGAACTCAGATTATTACCTCTTTAATATAATCATCAAATATATTTTCCTCAATTTTTACTAATAAATAAATAATTAAATAAATTAATTTTTTATTATTTAATTGAATTTTTTCGTTAGTTTCCAACAAAAATTTTGTAAATTTATTCACTAAATGTCCATCTTTTTTATAATAATAATTTCCTTTTTTCTTTTCAAATAAATTTTTTATTTCCAATTTTTGATTTTCTTTAAGTTTATTTTCAATATTAAATCTAAATTCCTCTGTATTTTTATCGAAAATTCCAATATTTTTTTCAAACAATTTATTTTCAATTTCCAGCAAATCTTTTAATAAATTGAGTGCATCTTTCATTTCTTTATTTTCTAAAAATATTTTGAAAATTGTAAAATTCTTTTAAAGCTATGCAAAATTAGGATACCGTATAACCTGTATTAATTACCACACTTCAATTAATTACCCCATCCAGCGATGGATTAAAACAATAATTACCCCCCCCCCCCCAACAAATGCCCTAAAACACGTTCAAATTTCAATCATCGTATAATTACCCTCCCTTGATTAATTACTCCTTCCAGCGGAAGGTCGAACAATAATTATCCAGGGTAGTCTAACTTTATAAAATACATATATTTATTTGTACTTTACCAGAAAATTCCTTCAATGCTTTTTCTAAAAGATCTAAAAATTCTACTTCTTCTTCTTGTATTTCAATTACTATTTCTTTTTGTTTATTTCCAGATTGCTAAAATAAAATTATAAAATTTTTAAATTTAAATTTATACTTCTCTAATAATTTCATTTTTTCGATTTCTAATTTCTTCGTTTATTAGACTTCTATCAAATCCAAATAAATCTTTGATGAGGGCTTCTTAAATTATTTTTTAAATAATTAATAATGGATTGGAGATTGGGGATTAGAGAGTGTATGTATTCTATATCTCAAATGAGTTATATGAACGATATTTTTGCATTAGATTTGTTCCGATCTCTAATATGGAATGCTTTATAGATGAACAAGAGTATTTGATAACAGATAACTGGATCCTGACCGAATTCTGTCGGGAGTATCTCGAATTTTTTTTAAATCCTTGTTTCGATTATTGTTTAAAAGGAGTTACCGAAACAGAATACCGATGCAGGGATTCCGAGTCCATACACTAGCAGACGCGGTATCAGTATTAGCCTAAAATCTCATTCCGAATTTTTGTTTTCGCCGCTAAAAAAAGGTGATGTCTGTTTTTGCTTTCCGAAAAATCCCCTCAGCGCTTAAAAAAATTATTTTTGAATGAAATTCATCTTGGTCATGAGATTCATCTCGGTCCTTTAAGTCAGGATTTAGATACCGTCATTTTCGTTCACTCCCTGCCTACAATTTTCAATCTTTGATAAAATATACAAACCTTTGGCTTTATAAAAATTACTCTTTAAATTTTTAATTTTTAATTTTGACAATTCTTCATTATTTTTTCTAGATAATATTTCAATAATTTTTTGTTTTCTTAAATTTCTTTCCAATTTTTTAGTATTCTTTTTCATTTCTTTATTTATACAATTTTTAATTACTTCTTTTTCAATATTTTTATTTTTTGTACATTCTTTCATTACAAATAAATATTTTAAATGAACCTCAAAATTTTCTGTTGAATAAGTTTTTGGGTTAAGAAATATTTGCTTTTAAATTTTTAAAAATTATTTTTATTTTTCATAGATTAAAAAAATTTTAAGATAAATTGAATTTGCAAAACACTGTCAATTTAACGACAGACTTACTTATTATCAGTCACTTAAAAGTTACTAGATAGTAGGGTCTGGCATAAACGGCTATCGAATCGAAATACGCAATTGAAAAAAAAGTTCCGGTAACGCAATCCGCAACTCGCAATCTGCAATTTTTAAAAATGTATAAAAATCCTCCAATATATCAAAAAATTTTCAGAATTTGGGAAGAAAAGGAAGCCAGATTACTTCCTTTTTAAGCGCCGCCGGATTCCGGTTGTGTCCAAACGGAAATTAGATTGTTGAATAATCTTCTAGATAATATAGTACATTCATTTAAATTGAATTCAAAATACCAGTATTTCTTTTTCAATCTCTTCCTCGTCGTCATCTTCCTCCTCAATTTCATTAAAATTCAAAACAAATTCTTTAAGAAAATTATTTCCATTCCAATAATTTTCAAAAATTGTTTCCCAAATATTTTTTATTTGTTCAATTCCAACTAAAAATTAAATAAATATTTAATTTCCTCAAAATTACCTTTATTTTCTATATTAATTTTATACCATCCTTTATAAAGAAAATAATCCAAAACATGTAATATTCTCCATTGTTGGTATTTTGTTTGATTTAAAAGGGAATCATTAATTAATTTAATTAAATTATTTTCAATATCTTCTTCTTCTAATGAATATTTAAATTAATTTAAAATAAATTTTAAAACTTTACCTAATTTAAATAAATATTCTGGAAATTTTTCTTGTAAAACAAATAGACGTATTGGCCCAAATATTTTTTTTAATCTTTCTATTGACGAACGATTGACATTATTACGAGTATTTGGATCAGTAAAAGATCTGAATTAAATTATAAAATTAATTATTTTTAGTTAATTTAAAGGGTTGACTAATCTTTATTTTGGGCAGAGATTTACAGGAATTTTGTTTTTATTTCCTAGTTATTTGGGTATTTTTGTATTTTTTGCCGATCTTATAATCTTTATCCATTTATTATTTTTTATTACTTTATTAATTTAATTTTTCCACTTATCATAACTAATCCGAAATACTCTCTGAAATCGCAGAGAGTTCAGAGAGTCTCTGAAATGAATCGAAATACTTTCTAAATTATACTAGCATGCTTCCCGACGTTTTAGAAAGACTACAACAATTTTTAACTTAAACAGCTATACGGATTTTTAAAAATTCCAGTTTTAAGCCTTTATTTGTTATTTAAGAAATCACCTCAAAAATTTTTGAAAAGATTTTCTTTCATCTATAAAATACTTAACAAAAACAATGAAATTAGTATCCCAAATTTCTTCTTGATATTCTTTAATTATTTCATCAAATTTTGTTAAATCAGTCAAGAAACAATTTAATTTAGGCAATTTTTTGTATTTTTTTCCATAAATTTTCTGTTTTAATTCTTCATTATATTCCCCTTTAAATGATATTAAAGAGCAAAGTGCTGCCTCATATGGAATAAGTAATGGATATAAACAAGCTTGGCGAAGAAGAAATCTGTGTAAATTTGTTATTTTATTATTAAATTATTTTCAAAAAGGGATTTTTCTTTCAGTTT